TTGTTGTGAGACTTAAAAGAATTTAGGTAGCAGGTTTAGAAAGTGGGAGGTAGAGGACAGGTTTTGCTCCTCAAAGCATATTTGACCAGGTGGAGACAGACTATTGGTGTCACAACTAGGGAAGCAGGGAGTGATTCCAACACCTACAGGGTGGAGGCAGGATGTAAGTGTGATCCTACTACACAGGAAAGCCCTCCACAATACAGAGTTATTTGGTCCAGAATGTCAATAGTGCCACTTTTGAGAATCATGGCTTAGAACAGGCACATAATAAGTGCTATGTAAGTTTTAGCTGCTATTATTATTTGCTATTTGGGAATAACAAGCCTTACTTGGAATGCTATCTTTAGGAGATATATATTTAAGCATAGTACCTAGCACTCAGCAAATGTAAAGGTAGTGATGGTGGTTATTATCAAGAAGCCAAATATCTGGTTATTATCAGGGAGCCAAACACAGTTTTTCTATACTAAGAGCAGCTCTTATTTAAATAAATCCTTTTGCAACATAAATAATGACTTTATTTAAAACTTTTCAAAAATAGAACACATTTGTAATCATTATCTCATGTTTTAATAATAGTTTTAGTATTTTCAGAGTACCTTTACTTCTTCGTCTTCATAATCAAGCATTTATTGTTGAGTTTTTACAGTACACCAAGCATGCCTTATGCTACTGGTGTGGTAGAAAGAACACAGATGTTAAAGTTGGATAGTATCTAATTCAGATCCTGACTCTACCACCTAAGTATTCATGTAACCTTAGATTATTCATTTTATTTCTTTCAATCTAGTTTCTCCATCTATAAAATCTATCTCCTGAGGTATTTTTGTGAATTAATTGGAAAAGTGTGCAGCTTGAAGTAGGAGTGGGTTTTAGTTCTCCTTCCTTCCCTACACCCATCCCCTCAATGAGCCCGCAGTGGTTTTGGAGACTTAAATGTACATAATCATCTCTCAGCATTTCCCTCCTCTGACTCTAAGGGCAGACAGGCAGTTGAGGGAGATAAGAGGAAACTGGAGAAAGGTGTAGTGATGTGCTTCTCTAGTGCTTCTGGGCATGTGGAAAAAGTCCAGGACCCAGATCCTTTTAGGTCAATCTTGTTGGTGAGGCCCGTGGGTTATATTCTTCTAATATCTTGCCTTTTTAGTAAACACCCATCAATATCTCACGCCATTCTTTAGAAGTGAGCCAAAGCCAAAATAGTGATTCTAAGAAGCTCCTTCTATACCTCGGTTATTGAGAAGGGCAGCCTTATTTTATTGCTCTTTTCCAAGTTTAATTTCTCTTTTCTCTGTTAATTTGCATAGATACCATTTTGACTTTTTATTTCATAGGATTTTAAACCTAATTCAGTATTATGAAAGTGACTGATTTTCAGTGGCCTGTGTTTTTACCTACTTTGCTGCCTTACCATCTGGTGCCTTGAAGACACATTTGCTAATCACATCTATTAAAAAAGAAAAAGTGAAACTGCAGTATTTGAAAATTAAAGTCTATTCAAGACCTTGCACAAGACTGCCAGTCTTCTCCATCCCAAGAAATAGCTGCTTTATGCACACCAGTAAGAACTGCCTTTGTTTGACCAAACTATGTTAGACATATTAGCAAGAGCTCGTCAGATCTTAGTTACAGCTTAATCTCAGTTAAGGATAAGAAGTTTGAAGTTTTCAGTTAAAGACTATAGAAGGATTAGTGGAAAAGTGGAGACACTAAGATAGTGATCAGTAGACACAACATTTTTCTATCTGAGAATGTTAATTGGAAAGTGTAGCAAAATCAAGCTCATGACCTGGAAATAAGATAGGATTAAGAAATGTCACATTTTTTAGGGGTTCCTATAATTAGAAAGACAGAAAGAAATGGAATTTTTCCACTTCCAATAGATTAAAGGTGTGGGATTTGATAATTTTGAACTCTCCTCCTCAGGTGTTGGTGAGTCATCCTTCTCTGATGCTGTTCTCAATTCCTTTTCATTTTTTAGTCACAGCATGTTACCACATCTAAGGGTGAATTCTCAAAAAGCTCTCCCTTTCCCCCCTTTCTTTTACCATTTCAGTCATAGAAAGAGCTACTCTTCCCTCAAAACGTGACATTCCATTTCATTGTTGCATGTTTTAAAACTCTTCATTTTTAGACACTGCATCACTGTAAATGCTCCATTTGCAAATCCATGGGATTTTACTTTCATCAACTCTCTTTTTAAAGTTTTTTATAGTTCACAAGTATTTTAATTGATGATTTAATATACCTGTCATTATTTTAGATGGATTTATGACAACTGATATTTATGTAGAAAATAGGTTGGGCTGCTCTGATTCTCAGAGTTAATAAAACCAGCTTTTACTCTGCTTAGCTCCCCAAAGGTAATTGGCATATTTCCCAGACCAAACCCCTAAGGTAAAGGTCAAGGTGCGGAGGGTGATATTAAGGTGCAGAATTGGAGCCACTTGTATCTTGCCCGACACGTAATCCTCCAGAACTCAGTGGGACTGTGGTTCATCAGAGCTTCAGCGCATGGTTAACAGACGCCAGAAGGCCATGTAGAATTTCCTTTAATGGGGAATTGTATGAGCGGGTACAGTAGGTGAGTCTTTAATATTTCTTATTTTTTTAGCATCCATATTTTGTTTTTAGAGGCCCGAAACAGCACAGAGCTGTGTGATTCATGTGTTTGGAAGCAGGCCCAGGAAATTCCTCACAGATTAATAGCAACAACTCTTCCTGTGGTTTTCACAGTAGCTGAGACTCATTGTTAATAGTCCATTCCCTGGACGGAAAACAGACTAGTGAGGGTAGAGTCATGGCTTCTGAACCAGCCTTCACCAATCCTTTTTGACAAATGGAAAAGAGAGTTTTCTTTTAGTAATGATGAGGAGATTGGGGGAAGAAGAATATGCAGGAGCAAGGCTGCAAAGATTAGGAGCCTGAAAACAACCTTTTAGAAACCTCTCAAGTCGACTCAAATAAGAACAGAATGTCTGGAGGTTTAACATTTTTCCTCTCAAAGGACAGCTAATATTTTTAATATATTCTTTATATATTGTTTATATTATATATTATCTTATATTTTAAAATATATTTTTATATATTATATATATTTATAGGGTGTCCCCCCAAATGTATACATACTTTAATAACTGATAGCTCAATTTTGAAAATGAAATGTATTTTAATAAGCACTGCCTTTATAATTATTCAAAGCGTCTGTATACATTTTTGGGGACACCCTATATTTAAATATATTTTTATGTATTTTATATTTTTATATAGCTTTGAAGTCAGAAATGGCTTATATTAACTTTTGCCATCAAAGATCACTTTCCCTCTCCTGAAGCATATTAATAGCTATTCAGTGATTAATAATCTTGATACTAAGTGGGAGAGAATCTTGGAAGTGTCACTTTGCTTTGTCTTTGCTAACATATGGAAGTAGAGACCCCTTGTTACCTCTGTTTTATAATGCTTCATATTAGGAATAAGCACCTTTCTTTGGAGCTCTGCTTTGGGGTTGATAACCCAAGGGCAGCCCATTAAGGAGAGGCGGCTTTACTGTATGAGGTTTTCATTATGTAAATCACCCTGTTGGCTGCTAGTGGAGTGATTCCTGCCTATCTCACCACTATCCCCAAGAGCCACATCCCATAATGGAAGCTTCAGCTCCTTGCTCACTCTCAGTGTAGAAAGAGCTCTCACTCTGCCAGCTTCGAAGGAATATTTTCGAAGTTGTATGTCCAGCAGATTTCAAGGCTTATTTTTCTATTCAGCTACATGCAGGATTTCCATGATGAAAGACTGATAAGAAGGTGCTCCTTCTCCTTCATATCCCCCCGCTACAGATGTTCTGATGACACACGATCAAACAGAATACCTCTTTTAAAGAAACTTGTGAATGTCACCATGACTCACAGCCAATTCAAAATCCAGAAATAACATGTAATAATATATGTTTCCTTTCCTTCTTTCTCTTTGCCCAATAAAAAAATAAAAATAAAAAAACAGGAAGAAGAACTGGTGATTGTGTGTCTAGGTACACTTTCAGTGGACCAAGGAACCATTAAAGATGCCTGATTTTGAATTTATTTCATTGACTACCCCATTGAGATTTTTTAACTACGCTGGTTTTCTCCACCAATATTTAATGACCATTTCATCCCCTTATACTTTGTAGCAAGAGAATTGACAGTTTGGGCAGGGTGGGGAGTGGGGAAGATTAGAAGAGAGAGCTATAAGCAAATGATGAGGCAGAGAAGTGAAACAAGATTGGGAACACAAAACATTATGGATGACCATACTCTGGTATGTGGGCAAAAGGATGGTTCAGATTAATTTTAATAAATAAGAGTAACTAGAATGCAAAACCTTCTTTTTCATTTGCCTTGCCTATTGCATGCACTTAAGAATACATTGATAAACTCTCTTCCTGGCAAAAAGACCTTCCTGGCCTTAGTTTACCTACTAAAACAACCGCCTAACTTTGTTATTTAAATAGTCTAATCTCAACTTTATTTCTGATCTTTTACTAAATACCTTAGTAAATACTTTAGTGTGCAGTAAATACTATATACTAAATAAATAATAAATAGTAAAGTATTTGATATTTACTATAGTAAATTTGAAATTTACTATAGTAAATATGCTAAATACTTGAGTATATTTGTCTTTAACCAGTTAAGCATTTAACTCCCTCTACCACCACCATCACTACCTCCTACCTTAAAAAAAAGTGTTCTAGTTTTTACCTGCTATTCTCAAGCTTCCCTCTGAGCCTACCATACCTCCTCTACCAAAATGAATTCTCAGTATGTATGAATCAAGTTAAATAGAAGTATCAGTCTGCGTGAAAGACTGCCTTATATTCAGATAAGCATGTTGTGCTTATGACCCATTGATGGATTATTGGGCCTGTTATTTACATTTATGGCAAGTATATGCCTCCATAAATATAATTTTAGCAAGATCTTTAAATGCCAGTGTGACAGTGGTCTGATTTGTTTCAGTCATGTGACCCATGAAGTGACAGAGGATTTTTCTCCTTGGGATCCAAAAACTGTTCTTGTGAAGCAAGATGGTGGAGACTGCACACCAGCAGTGCCCCTCCCTGAACCGAAAAGGGAAGAGGAAAAAGAAGACATTTCAGATCCTATGGACCTGAATCCCTGTAGTGCAATATACAGCAACTTAGGTAAGTGCACGTCATTTAATTAGTATTTAAAATTAGTCAAATGCTGTATTTCCCTAGAGAGATGGTTTAGACTGCTCTGTAGAGTAGAAGTTGGACAATTGAGTTATACATTTTAACTCTCATCATAAAAATCCTGCTATTTATTTGGCAGGTACCAAACACCTACTACCGTGAGTCCTGTGCCATGTTCTAAGGGTCTGGGTCTGACATAGTTCCTGCCTTGGGGGACTCAGCAGAAGGGAAAGAGATGAACTTGTTGATGATTTTAGTATAATATGATAAAAGTAGTGACGTAGTAGTGACATGGAAGATTTTTTATAATACATAGGTGAAGGTGTCAGAAGAGGCCTTCCTGTTAATAATTTCTGAACCGACTTAGCTGGTTTTAGGAGGAAGGTAGAGTATTCCAACCAGAGGCAACAACATGAGCAAAAGAATGGGGATGCAAAACAGCTTGGTGCAGGTGGACAGCACAATCATTCAGTGTAGCTAAAATGAGAACTGGGGAGTTGGACAATATAATGAATTTCAGGCTACAATAGGATTATTTGTTCTAGTTCTGTGAAAAAGATCACTGGTATTTTGATAGGGATTGCATTGAATCTGTACATTGCTTTGGGTAGTATGGACATTTTAATAATGCTAATTCTTCCTACTCATGAGCACGGTATATGTTTCCATTTATTTGTACCTTCTTCAGTGTCTTATAATTTTCTCAAGTACAGCTCTTTTACCTTCTTGGTTAAATTTATTCTTAGGTAATTTAATTCTTTGATATAAATGGGATTGTTTTCTTAATTTCTCTGATAGTTCATTATTGGCATATAAAAATCCAACCTATTTCTGAATATTAATTTTGTATATTGCTACTTTACTGAACATGTCATCTGTAACTAATGACAATTTTACTTCTTCCTTTCCAATTTGGATGCCTTTTATTTATATTTCTTGTTTAGTTGTTGTGACTAGGAATTCCAGTACTATGTTGAATAAAAGTAGTGGAAGTGCACATCCTTGTCTTGTTCCTGTTCTTTAGTTTTTCCCTGATAAGTAGGATGTTTGTCATATACTACCTTTATTACATTGAGGTATGTTCCCTCTGTTCCCATGTTGCTGAGAGGGTTTTTAAAAAAATCATAATTGGACGTTGGATTTTATCAAATGCTTTTTCTATATCTATTGATGTGATCATAGGATTTTTATCCTTTATTTTGTTTATGTGGTGCATCTCATTAATTGATTTGCAGTTATTGAACTAAACTTTGCATCCGAGGAGTAAATCTCACTTGATCATGGTGTGTAATCATTTTAATGTATTGCTGATTTGGGTTTGCTAATGTTTTATTAAGGATTCACCTGTAAAGCCATCTGTCCAGGATTTTGTTTGTAGAGAGTTTTTTTTATTACTGCATCGATTTCATTGGTTGTAATCGGCCTGTTCAGATTTTTTGTTTTTTCTTGATTCAGTCTTGGAAGATTATATTTTTTAGGAATTTATCCTTTTCTTTTCTTTTTTTTTTTTTTTATCCTCACCTGAAGATATTTTTTCATCTTTTTTTCAGAAAGAATGGAAGAGAGAGAGAGAAAACATCGATGTGAGAGAGACACATTGATTGGTTGCCTTCTGCATGCACTCTGACCAGGGCCTGGGGTTGAGCCTGCAACCGAAGTATGTGCCCTTGGCCGGAATCCCATGCGGGACTCTTCAGTCCCTGGGCTGACTCTCTAACCACTGAGCCAAACTGGCTAGGGCAGAATTTATCCCTTTGCTTCAGATTGTCCAATTTGTTGGCATATACTTATTTGTAGTATTTTTAAAAATTCTTTGTATTTCTTTGGTGTCAGCTGTCACTTCTCTTTCTTTTTTTTTTTGGTAATTGTGCAAAATATTTCAGGTGTCCCTTTTTCTCCCCGTTGATTCCTTCCATCCCCCTCCTCAGTCTCTCACCATACCATTATCTGTGTTCTTGGGTTATGCATATATGCATATAAATTCTTTGGTTAATCTCTCCCCCTCCACCCACCCCCTCCCCT